TATAAAGATGAGAAAGCTTATATCCTTTTGGTGTTCATGTAAAAAATAAAAGAGAAAACGAAGAGATCAAAAAAAGAAATGTTTTCAAATCTTTTCGAGGAAATCAGAAGAAATTAAATAATACTGTGAATCATTTTTAAGCCGAAACTCCGAAATATACTTCCGAATTTTCTGGAATACATTAAATAAGTCCAAAATTAAACATTTTTTTAAATATGTAGTTCAAAAAAGTCGGAGAAAAATAGATTCTATCTGTAAATTGTTCCTTAAATCGATTTGAAAAAAAAAAAAAAAAAACTTTTATTATGGTTTATTGCTTGCATCTTAATTTTCCACAAGTCTATGCTTGTATTCATGTTTTGTATTCAGACAATCATAATACTTAAAAAGTAATACGTTCAAAACTAATTAATATAGTTTCGAAAGAAAATAAGAAAATCATGAAATATTACATTTTACATATAAAAAGTATGATTCTTTTAGCGTACTAAAACCAGTTGAAAAAGTAATCAAAAGATTACATTATCAATTTTTTCATCCAATTTTTCAGTTAGTTTGAATTGTTATTGTTCTGAGTAAATAAATAACTAAATAACTTCATTCAGAAAAAAAGTATGGACCATACTATTAGAATATGGTAAGATTAAGTGCTTCTGGCTGCATGGGAGCACCAAAACTCTCGGTAATTTTTACCGAAACGCTTTGATAATGATTTTGGTAAAATTTACAATACAATATAATTTTGTAACGTGTGATAAAATTTGGAAAATATGGTGTAATTTGGTAATTTTATCATAGTACAATAGGGCATGCCATAAAAACCATTTATTCGGTTAAGATATTCGGTTATTCGCTTTTAGATTATGTATTTTTTTTCTAATTGTGTGGTAATAAGAGATATAATTTTGAAAATCAGAATTTCCTGGAAGCTTTTACCATATGAACGGAAAATTACCAAATGGATGGTTCAAATACCGCATATTTTGGTTTGTATTACCAGAATTATTATTATTATCATCATACCGTAGGGCAGTGTTTCCCAAAGTGTGGTACGCGTACCCCTAGGGGTACGGGAACAGTTTAGCGGGGGTACGCGTTCTTATGCGAAATATTTTGCAACAAGCGAAAATTTCAAATTTTTTTATTTAAAAACAAAGCTAGCCATGAAAATTTTCGATTACGTATTTTTCTATTGGCTATTTTTTTCCGAGTTAACAGTTAATAATTAGTGATGTCAACAGCTAGTTGTGATTTTTAACTTTTGTGCAATTTTTTATCACAGCACCTGTTATCACAGCAAAAACAATACCATCCTTCTCACTGATGCAAATAAACTTATTAACAGAACCTTGTACCAAAAAAGAAAAATAAACATATTTTTAAAAAAAAAAAACATTAATTTTTTTATTAGTGGTACACAGCGTTACGAAAAATTTAGAAAGGGTACACAAAAGTCATAAGTTTGGGAAACACTGCCGTAGGGTAATTTTATCAAATTGTTTTTTCTCTATGTTGAATTTAATCAAAAGTACGCTTTATTTATTTCATCTTATTTGTTTTTCTCAGTTTCTCTCGCAAGGTTTCATTAAATAATTTATTTATATATTTATTTTTCTGAATAGTTAAAACCAAAAAGCCTTTAAAATGAGCTTTATTTTCTAAATAACGATTGTATTACGCAACTTTGAGGTATTATACAATATCAGTTGTAATTGTTGAATAATTGTATTCTTAAACAATATATGGCCTTCTTTTTGCTTACTTTTAATTATGGAAGAACAAAACAAATAAGTTAGTTTTAACTAAAATGTTTAATAGCTACTCATTTAACTGAAACTAAAATTTAAGGTTTTGTCTGGTTTTATAGCTACTAAAAAAACTAATTGGTTTAAAGGTTAGATCACACTGGAACTTTGGAAAAAAAACCTCTTCACAAAAAAGAACTTGAATACCTTAAAAACTTTAGATCCAAAGTGTCAGTAGTGAAAAAAATATGGAAGTATTTTAATTTTTCCTACTGATTTGAAAATCAACTTTATAATTTTTATTTTTTGCAGATATACGTAAGATTATTTTATAATTTATGTAAGATAATTTATTTGCATGGGTTCTTTTGTGAAGAAAAAAATTTGGGGTGATTGTCTTTGGAGGTGGTTTTGATTCATTTATTTATTTAGTTTGTCAAATATGCCAAAATTGGTTAATCAAAAATAAAATAAATAAATAAATAATAATAAACCTTCAAAACGTCTTCATACCAAAGAATTTAATTTTTAGTTTAGCATCGCTTTCAAAAAATTAAATTTTACGCTTTTACTATTTGTAATATAATGAATTCTCTTCAGAACTTTAATTTCACTTCGTTTATTAGCTAAAAGAATTTCCCAAACTATATTAGTACTTCCGCCTTTAAAATGAACTGAATTTAATTGCTGTTAATATTTTAAATGAAGATTTCTCCTGTATAAAATATCATAAGAGAGCATAAGGTAATGAAATAAAAGTGTTAATTTCTCTCCTAATTCATTCACGAAGTTTAATACAAATTTTTCTTGTTTTTGGTGCTTCGTCGTTTCTATCTCGTACAGTCTATTTGAGTAATTATTATTCATCTGATTCTAACATACAAGGAAGATAATTACTTTCTGTATAAACTGAAAACTGAAAATTGAAAAAAGAGCAATTTAAATAAACACTTTTCATGACTATAACTTGAGCCTCACCATTTTAGGCAATTAAGACTAGAAATTTACAAATTTAATGAGTAAAATTTTTACTTTTATTATGATAAATTGATGGAAATTACTTTACATTATTATTGTATAATTTTAATTCGACAACCTAGAAAGTGGGAGCGATTTGGTTGAGTTTGATTAGACCAATATGAAATTGAAATCAGTATCAATATCAAATGAACGCTATTTTGTAGGAACGCTAATAAATTAAAATTCAATTAATTGGCAGAATCCAGATGTCTATTTCTGCCAAACTCAAACTCCTCTAAACACAGCCTAGTTAATTAATGTCTAAGATTCCAACTTAGTTAACGCCTGAACTGTTACTTTTTTTAATTTTGAAACAATTTGAGAAAATATTGTTAAAAATTAATTTAAATTTCAATAACGTCATGGCATAACTTCTAAGAGCAGTGCATAAAACTTTCTTAAGATATATTTATCGAAAAAAATATATAAATTGTTACTGAAATTTAATGCAGCAATATGAATTTAAAGCACTTATGATATCAGAAGACCATAAAATAAGAATGTTTTTAAATAGAACCAAAAAATTAATATATGTTATACATTTTACTCACATACATAATTTAAAGTATTAATGAATTTTTTAACTTAAAAAATTAGAAAATTGATTTTTATTTTTTTTAGCAGAAGAAACAAAAAAGCATTTAAAAGTACAAATTTAATATCAAGAATCCTGGACTGTTAAAAAGAAAGAGAAAGAAAAACGTGTTTATGTAAATAAAAAGATTTATGCATAGCAAGCGAACACAACATCCCTAATTTATAATCTGTAAAGATATTTTTTCTCTCAACTTTTCAAAAGTTGTTTTCAATTCATAAGTTGAGACATATTGCATAAAAACTTTTGAAGAAATATTTAATAAACAGAACTTACAGAAGACAATTAAAAAAAATGCACTTTTGACATCAAAAGACGTGCGCCGTTACATGAACAATGTACTTAAATAAGAACAAAAATTTAAGTTTAGAATAAGTTTACTATCACATCATTTTAAAATAAACTTACTGAAGAATTTCTTTTTTAATTTACAGATAAGGCACAATTCATGAAAGTTAAAATTAAGAAAAAATATTTGATTCTTACCAAAGACAACTAAAAAAAAAAATCATTTTAATAACAGAAGAAATGCTCTGTTAAAAAATATTTATTTTTTAAGGAATATAAAAATTTATGGAATGTATATATTCTACTGACGTATTTTTTCATGATGTATGGCTGGTGTATTTTTTCATAAAAACTTTTAAAAAATGGCTGATGTATTTTTTCTAGTGATGTAAGGAATAGTGATGGGGCCGAATAGCCGAATACCGAATATTCGGTGGCCGAATACTTACTTTTTAAAAATTTCTCTTTTGATTTTAATTATGTAACTAAAGTAATTTTCAAATTTGAAATTAAAAATGAAATAAATATTAACAAAATTGCTTCTTTAATCTTTGTTATATTTAAAAAAATTTTAACAACTTGATTTATTTTTTGTAATAATTTAAATATGTTGATGCCAATAGCAACGCAATATGGCTTTTATAAATCTAAATCATTAATAATGGCATATTTTAGTTATAGTTATACTTGTAATTTATATGCTATTTTATATAAAATAAGAACTCATTACTACTGTTAAATGTATTCTTAACTTTCTTTTTTGTCAGAAAAATTATTAAAACCCAGAAAATTAAGAACTTTTTAAAAAGTTTCACTTTTGAAATTTTAATTTTGCAATTAAATAATTTTCAAATTTTAAATTAAAAATGAAATAAATATTAACAAATTTACTTTTTTAAACTTTCTATATTTTAAAAAAAATTTAACAACTTGATGTATTTTTTGTAATATTTTAAATATCTTGATGCCAACAATAAAGCTTTCACAAATCTAAATAATTCATAATAGCAGCATAATTAATAATAGCATATACTACATTATTCGGCCGAATAACTTCAGTATTCGGCTAGGCCGAATATTCGGCCAAAGGGCCGAATACCGAATAGTTGCTGAATATTCGTTACATCCCTAATTTTTTCATAAAAACTTTTAAAAAATATTTTTTTGTGAAAAATACCGGCAGATGGAGAAACAAAAAACATAATTTTAATACAAAAAAATCATGCATTTTTTTTTTTTTTTTTTTAGAAAAAAAGGAAGAGAAAAATTCCTAGACATCATCATATAATTATAAATGAATTATTTTGTTTTCAAAATTTAAAAACTGAGAAAAATTTGCATAAAATACTTACAGGAGACTATTAAAAAGAACATCCACCATCTTAAAATCAGCATTTATTGTATCCAGAATTTAGAACCATTGCATTTCTGTTCAAAGCACTTTTTTTCCTAAGGTCAATTTGACTCGCGCAACCAAACCACTTCAAAAACCAAACCGACAGTTTGAACACCTGTGAAGTTATGAGATCGAACAGGTTGTAAGAAAACGTATGGGACCTGTAGGTGGCGCTACCATCTGCAAGAAAATCCAAAATCTTGACATTGTGGGTAGAAAAAGAAAGGTTTTTTTGGGGGGATGACCTAAGAAAGACCAAAGTGATTTTCGTATCTTCATGCAATGTTACATCAACAGAAGTAACGAAGGGGGCAAGAAAATTTTTGAAAAAGCAGTTTTTAAAATTTGTTTTAGAATTACACAATATTTAAACTGAGGGATTTTATAGAAATTGTAAAAGCGAAAGAATAAATAATTACAGAAAGAGAAATAAATTATTTTCAGAAATAAATGATTTTTGCTTAAGGCAAGTTTTAAAATTTTTTTAAAATAACACAATTTTTAAGCTGATTGATTTTGTTTAAATCATTGGCTGTGAAATAGATATTATTAACTGTGAAAGAGAACAGTAGTTTAAGAGCTCGAAAATTTAATATGAATAAACTATATCTGTAAACCAATGAATTATCTACTGTACTTGCGTAAAATAATAAAGAAAGAATAAATATCGAAGCAAGGAATAGAGAAAAAATGCAGAATGTACTAACTGGCCATGCATGTCCTTACGTACTATACTTTTATAAATTAATATTTTTTTAAAGAAATGTTTTTTTACCTCTTTTGTTTTAAGAAAAAAACGTAGAAATGCATAGAGCTATAATTATATATGCTTATATTAACATACTTTAAATACATTATTTAAAATAAAGAAGCAATTTGATGCAATTTTTGAAGAACGTATTCACAGTGATGAAAATACTTATGAAAAATGAAAAAAAAATCATGTCAACTTCTGAAGATGATCAAAATGTTGATTCAAAAATTTGGAAAATTTGTCGGATCACTTTTTTATATTATTATTAATATATAATTATATATTATGAGCTAGTATAAAAAAATCGTTTTATATTTAAGGGCAGCGAATTGTTTTGAAAATTTTATTCGAAGCAATAACAATAGTTTAAGAACCATTCAAACTTAAAATTAGATTAAATATTCCCAAATTTAAAAATTTGTCCTTTAAAATTAACCAAAAATGTAAGGAATTTCATAATTTAAAGTTGTTATTAAAAAAAATAATATTTATTGAGTTGAAAACGTTGAAAAATATCGTTTTCTTTCCACAAGTCCAACTAGCAAACTAAAAATGAAAGATAAAATGTATGATCTTTCATGGTATGATTTAATTTAATTATCGTACAAATAAAATTTTATTCATTTTAAGCAGATGATAATTGTTTTCCAAAATGTTAGTTTCTGATTGTGAAATAATACTTGACCCGGTAACTTTAGGATTTTCCCTCATATTTGAATCACCATAATGATCAAGAATTTAAAAACTTAATAAATGATTCCAAGAAATGAATCACATGTAATTAGGATCTTAATTAGCGTTTACAATTGCGAACGTGACTATTAGTAATCATAAATTATGATTACCTGCAATTGTAGGCGTTATTTTAAGGAATTATAATTACACATAATTATAATCTACAATAACACAAAATTTAATGCATGGCAACAGGTTCAATTGATACTTTAAAAAAAAAAAAAACTTCTAATCAGATATTTTTTTAAAAAAATATCAAAAAGAAAATAAAAAGATTTATTTTTGACAGTATCACTTTTTAACGATTAAGTTATTTGTATACAATGTATCCAATCATAAAAATCAAATATTTTTTTTTATCTTTTTCATTCTTCGCATTATAAATTACGCCAATAAGCTTAAAGTTTTTCTAAAAAAGATTAAAAATTTCAATTAAGTTTTTGGTAAAATAATTTTCAAATTGATTAATGACTTTTGGTAATGGAAAATTATATTGAAAAAAATTCTGATTTAAGCATACTTAATTAACTTATTTAAGAACATGCCTTAAATCCATCCCGAAATCACTTCTTATTTTTTCCAATCGGTTAAAAATGAATTTAGAAACTGTAATAATTGAGCAGCTCCTGAATTATATTGATGAGAAAAATTAGCCGTTGAAAAGGCGCCAAATCTATGCAATTTCAAAATGATAAAAATGTTTTTCTAATTGTTGATGGGAGAATAAAAAAATTTCTCTTAAAGAAAACGACTATCTTATTGTTTTCTTTAAAAACCAGTTTTAAGAAAGTCAGAAAATCAACACTATCTCGAAAAAGAACATTTTAAAAAAATTCTCGGAGATTTAATAATAAGATAAATAGGCATTATACAGTCTAACCACGCTATATTGAATTCAGGATACACTCGGTTGTAGTAAGTTTTTTTAGTGGTTCCGTCTGAACTGCTATTTAACTTTAATGCTATTTTATGAGCTTTCAATTAACAGCTAAGTATTCGCTTATAGTAGACTCCTATTTTACAGGTATAAATATTACAAAATTTTTATTTTACGTGATATGTTTATGACTTTTAATTAGAATTGACGTAATACTGTTTGAAATGTTTAACTTTGCTGAAATGAAAAGTGGTTCCAAAAGAGCGATTGCGCACTAACTTTCTTTAAAATGATGAAAATGGAGAAGCATATCTCCCACTGGAGTATTTTTCCCCCTTAAAAAGTTCGACGAAACTTAAGAGTTGTGAATCACGCCAGTACTCAATTTACTAATGGCGAATCACCGAATTTATTACAGATGAATGGGGCATCATATAAATTATTTGTTTACCGTCATGAGCAGAATTAGGAAACACACCATAGCCATGATGGCTCAGAAGATAGAGCGTTCACTTTCCAATGAGATGAACCGGGTTCGAATTCCAGCGATGGCTGGTTGTATGCTGCTGACGTAAAATATCCTCAGTGGTAGACGGATCATGGGTTAGAATCCCTCTGCCTTCAGGCTAACCATGAGAGGTTTTCGTGATTTTCCTCTCCATGTAATGCAAATGCAGGTTAATTTCATCAAAAAGTCTTCTTTGAAGGCACATTTCTCCCAATACTTGATCCAGCAGCTCCTTTGTCTTCTGGATTGGGTTGAAAACTACAAGACAACGGAGTTGAACATTAGTAGTTGTAAACCTAAAAAAATTGGGTAGGCTGTTCAACGATGGCTATAAAATAAAATTAAAATAGCCATTACTGATGACATTAAAAAATGCACCGTATGATTTCGATTAATGTATTTTGGGGAATTAGAATCGGTTACTGTGGATCCATACCAAAAAAAATTAATTTTAGCGATAATTTTCCTCGTCACTCTTTCGGTATGAATCCTCAGTAACCGATTCGAGTCCCCCAAATTAATGATTCGCTCTTATTGATAGATTCTTCTCTCGGATATTTAATATCAGGGAATCTACATAGTTTTAATTACATTCCTAGATGTTCCTTGAGAGCATTTAAATAAATCAAGTTGATTTAGATATTTTGGAAACCGGTAAAGATGAAGGAATTGTAGACTTCGTACCGTTACATATGGCATTACAAGCGCTCATTTTCGTATTCTAAAGCGCGGTGAATGGAGACTGGTGACCAGCAGCAGCTATAGTCGTCCATAAGGACGCTGATGGTGTGTTATCGGAATTGACTCACTTGATTAACACTAGAAAGACTGAAACTTTGCATATACCTCCCAAAAGCAGTCAAAATGAGTGGATTGTAAAAGAATAACTAATGGTAAAAAAATTAATTTAAAATTAATTTTTAGTATTTTTTATATAATTTACAGTTATACAACAAGTTATTAGTAAATATTAAGAATAAAAAAATTATACGTTGTACAAAAGTCACAAAATTCTAAGAAATTGTGTCATTATATGCATCACTGCTTTTCTAATTGAAATTAAAAAGCAGTCAAAATGACTTCCTTGGGTAATCTAGTGCTAACCTTCTTCAATGAGGCAACCTTCACGGGTAATCATGAAATGAACTTTGTCTATTGGAAAATGTACCTTACGTAGGACAAGAATAAAATTTTGATTAAAATAAGGGTTGACTCATGGTCTGATATGGAATCAAAAAGGAAAAAAAAATTTTGTCAAATATTACGATGCCATTTCACTATACCTAAAGATCAGTTTTATCATGCATTGCTAAGCTGTTGAAACCACTGTTGGGACTAGTAATTGGGAAGGCGAAAATTTTTATGCAAAAACTTCCTAAACTGGATTGGGATCACCATTGCCTGACGCTACAGAATAGGGAAATATGTCACCTCACTTCAATTTGACAAAACGCTGTGTGCTGGTTGGAGATTCATGGATTTTGTGATGCATCTGATGACGGTGCTGCATTGTATTTGCAATGTGGGAATGATTCAGATGGTATGAAGTATCTATCTACTGAGAAGCAAATCAGGAATAGTTCCTATAAAACAGTAAATATTCCTTGCTTAAAATTGTGGAACTGTTACCTAGACTATTAAGGAAATTAAGCTCTAAAATTGAATATATAAGATGTATATTTGCGGTATGATTCAATTATTAACTTTAGCATGGATTTATACAAATCTGTGCTTGCTGGAAACCTTCGTAATAAACAGAGTGAGTCAAGAGCCTTCAAATGGTGCCCTCCGAAGATAATCCAACAGATCTCATTTCTTAGTGTGGATAAAATTTCAAACTCTGGTGGAATGGAGCTTCTTTTTTTGCTACCCAAGTATTCTAATTTTTTATATATATAACCGAAAACATTTCGAATATAATTTACTTTATGTAAGACAGGATTCCAATAGTGTTTTTAAATAGCATATTTAAATAAGCAAATAACAATGGGAATTAATTCGTACTGTAAGTTATATTTTCAGATTTTGTAAAAAGAAGGAAAATCATCGACCTCTAAAGAAACCTAGAGGACTAAAATTTGGTTGCTAATCGGGTAAGAATTTGGTGCTCTCCAAAGAGGCTTTGTAGTAAGTTTAACTGTTGAATTTTCTTTAATGTCGAAATTCTTTAATTAGAGGTCGTTTTGAAAAAGTTTCTTACATAATTTTGATCCTCAAAATTATATTTCAGTAATATCTGTACCTTAGGGATAACTCTATGATACTCATTTCGGTTTGTAA